TATATATATATATATATATATATATATATATATATATATATATATATATATTAAATGAGGCTTTAGGGTTAATGATAATATGTTATGTAGTATGCACTCTATATACTAAGGAGTAAAAGTGTAAGTATTTTAACTCTTAACGAATAAATAGTTTACCAATAAAAAAATTAAGTAATCTATTCTTACATCGATAAATCGTTAACTATAAAAATTTAATTATTCACCAATCGTCTAGCCAATAACCTAATACCAATAAGTCAATAGGTCAATTTTACGATTGACTTTTTTATTTTATTTTATAATTTGATTACAAAACAAATTTAAATTGATGTGGCTGAGCGTGACGACCTGACACAGTCACATACAAAAGTGATGTCCTTCATTTTCAATAGATCATTTACGAGTTTAAGGCTTGATATTTAAATTGCTTTGGCATAAAATTCTTTACTTCCAAGTTGATTTTTCTTTTTGATATAAATTTGAATTAATTCAACTTATAATGAATGTCCAACCTTTGATAAGAAATATAGGAAAAATAACATAAAATAAAGTCTGATATTATTCGGCCTAACACCGAATTAAGAAAAAAATAGACATGTCAAATTAACTCGTGGAAGAAACATAGAGTTGAGAATAATCAATCACACGCTTTGTGATGGGTAATGAAGACCAAAATGTGGAGACTTCATTGGCACCTCCATTCTCACTCATTCGGTCAAATATTAATGTTCATTTTTTCAATTGATATATTTATTATATAAAATAATAATTAATGTTGAACAAAAATTGAAAATAGACTAGTGAAAAAAAATTAAACAAGTAATTAGGAATAAAGGAGTAACAAGTATTTTCTTTTGAGCAACTTTCACGTTTAGCAAATATTAAATCATATTTATATGCTATAATAATAATTTGCATAATTACGTTACATAACAAAATTTATATTTGGTATGAACATTAGATTGTATAAATCACTGGGAACATCAGATTTGTATAAAATCGCTGGTAGCCTCTAATCTGTATAAATCGTTGACAACCTCTCGTTTGTATAAATCGCAAGCAGCCCCTCAATTCAATTTTATGTTAGTATATCTGCATAAAATTTAAATTTGTATACAATTGAATCAAAATAAAAACATTTGTATATCAAGTCTCTCTCTCGCTTTATAGAAGCACAAATTATAAATTGTTTTTTGTATAATATGTGTTTGTATAAAGCGAGAAAGAAAAAAAGACAAAGAGAACTGGGCAGGAAAATTTTAGTATTGTATAATTATAGGTGAAGATATATTATTTCCGTGTGCATATACAATTTTCTCTCTCTTTATATAAACAGAAACATAATTTATACATTTGTATTTGTATAATTTGAGAAAAGCAAGGGAGAGACCGACGAGCGAGAATTTCTGGAAGAAAGATAAATGACAATAGTTTGGTACGAGTTACAGTTAAATCAAAGTGTGATCATACTATTTAATTTGAATTAATAATTTTCTATTAGATGTAATTTTTCTTTTTTTATTGGAAGTATTATAATAATTCAATTGGAAAAGGAGAATGATCAATATTTTTTACCATAAAAGCATTGGAGTATTAAATATGTTACATGATTTTTTATGCAAGGATGTTAAATAAAAAAAAATAAATATAAATGTAGTATCACATGTAAGAGAAAATTATTTGAACAAGGTGAGCGCTTTCCTCTTTTCCTTTTCTGATCGGTTAGTTGCTTAGATGCTTTTCATTTTTCTACTTGTATACTACTCATTTGCTTTATTGTATTGTTTATCTTCTCTTTTGGCATATCCCTGTTCCTTCATATGAAGTAAACCCACAAAAATTGAAATATGCTTATTGTTAAAATTGAATTGAAGCTTAGGTTAATGGAGTACAAACCAGAAAATTAAAACTTCAATTTTTGATTCAGATTACGATCATCTCTATGCTGTTTTCATGGTATGTTGACTTCTTTGTCTTATTAGTTATTTCTCTACCAACTTTGGCCAGTTCCCTGATTAATACTCATTTGCTCATGTTTGTTTTTTTTGGAAAAAAAATTGGGGAATTGAACCCTCATGTGAAAGTTCATGTAGTCAATCAACTGGGCTATTAAGATTCCCAGACTTATTGTTACTATTATTTTTTAGTTTAGTTTCTATATGTCTATGGTGTGAGAGTGAGATTTAAGGAAATTCATTTAGCTTATTTTATGATAAGTTTGTAGGGTTTTTATGTGTTTTAGTTTGGTTAACCTGTTTGCTTGGTCTTGTAACTAGCCAGATCTCTTTTTTTTGTACCAGAAATGTGGAAGCGTTTGATTATTAGCTTTCTTAATTTTCAGATTTAGATGCTTGTTTTGTTCGCCCCCATTCAAGCGGAAAAGCTGTAGATAATGATCTGTAAAGTTTAATATTTTGACTGTGAATCCAAAAAAAATTCAAATGGCATCTGTTGGCAATGGTGAACATCCTGGTATTGTTGAGGAACCTATGAGCAAGGCTCATGTACCTCTGAATGTTTCAACATCTCAAAGGGGACTTGTAAGTAATGAAAATTCTCAGAGCCATTTCCAGGATAGTACTCTTGCTATTCCCAAGAGGCTAAAGTTCCTCAACTTTGGTAATTTGGGTTCTCCATCGTTAAAGTTTCAACAGATAGCTGATCAAAGAGATGATTTTTCTCGAACTGTACCTTCTTCTAGCAGCCTTCATCTCCGTCAACGTATTACTAGACTATTTTCACGGAAATTGGATTGGCCAGCTCTTAGGAAAATGTGCAAAGAGTGGTTCAGAAATCCGCTGAATATTGTACTTTTTATCTGGATTGTATGTGTAGCTGTTTCTGGTGCAATTTTGTTTCTTGTGATGACGGGGATGTTGAACCATGCCATCCCTAAAAAATCTATGAGAGATACATGGTTTGAAGTGAATAACCAAATTCTTAATGCATTGTTTACTCTCATGTGTCTATACCAGCACCCACAAAGGCTATATCACTTTGTTCTTTTAATGCGATGGAGGCCAGAAGACATTTCCAGGCTGAGAAAGGTTTACTGCAAAAATGGAACTTATAAGCCCCATGAATGGACACACATGATGGTGGTTGTCGCATTACTTAATCTCAACTGTTTTGCTCAATATGCTCTGTGTGGGCTTAATTTGGGTTACAAGAGGTCAGTAAGACCAGCTATTGGGGTAGGAATATGTATCTCAGTTGCAATTGGTGCACCTGCCATTGCTGGAATTTACTGTATGCTCAGCCCTCTAGGAAAAGATTATGATACTGAGTTAGACGAGGAAGCACAACTTCGAACAACAGCCGAGAGCAGCAGTGCTAGCCAACTGAGAAGAAAAGCATTGGAAAAGAGATTTTCTTTTGCATCAGATGAAGGGAGACTTGTTGAAACTAGACCACAATGGAGTGGAGGCATTCTTGATTTTTGGGATGATATTTCTTTGGCATATCTCTCTTTGTTCTGCAGTTTTTGTGTTTTTGGTTGGAATATGGAGAGACTTGGGTTTGGAAATATGTATGTTCATATTGCAACTTTTCTTCTGTTCTGTATGGCTCCTTTCTGGATCTTCAATTTGGCTGCTGTTAATATTGACAGCGATACTGTCAGGGGGATATTAGGAGTTACTGGGATTTTTCTTTGTCTGTTTGGGTTACTGTACGGTGGCTTTTGGAGGATTCAGATGAGAAAAAGATACAATTTGCCTCCTTACAATACTTGTTGTGGTAAACCTTCTGTTGCTGACTGTGCACTATGGCTTTTCTGCTGTTGGTGCTCTCTTGCTCAGGAAGTAAGGACCGGAAATTCCTATGACATCGTGGAAGATAAATTTTGTAGGAAACTAGATGAAAGTATGTCACCATTGCCTCGTGAGGATGGGCTATATAATACTTCAGGTCCTCCTCTTGCAAACAACTCCTCTTCACTTCCAATTATAAAAAGCAGAACCCCAAACCCCAGCAGATTTGCAGATGAAGTTCATAATCATGATAGACAGCAACCCTTCGTGGAAGATGAGTCTCATACAAGAGGTCAAAATGCGATAACAGTACCACCTACTCCTTCAGTTATACAAAGAGAAGATGCGTAGCAAAACAGTTTTGCCGTGTTGTGACAACCTGAACCATAAATTGTAAGCTTGCCTGCCCAATTTTCATTTTAGCTATAGGTATTTTGTATTTCTACATTTTAAATATGTTGTACAAGTGTTGGTTGTGATCATCATGTTTAAATATTATTCTCTTTAATATTGTTGCAGTACTCTGTTTCTTTGACGTTTTTAGTCAGTGTTTTTATGCTTCTAGGCAGCCCGTTTAACTTATTTTGATCAGTGAGGCCCGCTTTTAATTGGTCACTCAGGTGAACAATCTTTTCACTTAATAAGGCATTATGATGATGAGAAATCCCATTCTACAAAAACTTCTTTCAGTTTACTCTTGTTGGGACTTAGGAGGAGTTGTTGTTACTCTCGAATCTGGTATACAAGATTTACTTCCTCATCTCCCTTATGGTGCCACCTTATTAGAGTTGTTGGGAAGATAATTGGCCCCTTTCTTTTCTTAATCCTTATAAGAAGGACCTTCGTTTGATGAACGTGAAGAGAAATAATGGAAGTGAGGAGTTTTTGAAAAAAGACTTGCTTGAGAAGATTGACTTTGATATGCTGAATCAGTGAAGAAGATTTCTCTCAACATTATGATATTATAAAGTACTAAAGTAGTACTCCCATTTTGTTCTATATGGTGTGTTTGACCGAATACACTTCGAATTAATAGGCGAAAAAATTAGTTTAAATAGAAAGCGTCCTATCGAAGTCAATATTCAAATAGTTAAATAAGTTAAAACTCTTAAAAGTTCTGAAAGTTGTATAAAGTAATTTTAATTAGTGGAATGACGTCAAATATTACGCAATATTCCAAATGGAAAGAACTCATATATGGATCAGAGTGGAGAGAGTATTAGCACAACAAATGTTAGAGTTGTGAGAGAAGGGAAAGATCGGTATTTAAAGGAATGGTCAAGTAATATGGGACAGACAAAAAGGCATGCCATGACAACTAATTTAGAACAAAGGGACTATAACATAACTCAAATAGATTTAGTTTATCCTTTTTTGGCCATCTTATATGTTAGTTCTCTAATATGCATAATGTTGCTGATATGCCACGGCAGCTTCTGTTCTTCTACTCTGAGGTGATGTTCCAAGGACTCGTATTTTCCAATTTCTTTTAACTATTAGTATAACTTGAATTTGTGATGTTTTTTTTATCATTATTGAATATTAATTACTTTACTTCTTTGTTGATAATGAAGTATGAGTGACTTCTATAGCGACTTATTGGGCTGTAATGAGTTTTCCTGGACTCGAAAAATTTCTTCATAGAAAAATGTCAAATTGTCCAGCTTTTGATGGCTTATCTCAATTGTAGCATATTGAATTGTCCGAGAGTTAGATCGTTATTTAGTCCTTCTGTATCCTTTTTACTTTTAGAACCTGCTCGATCTTGAGATTCTACTGACTTGTCTGAATAGACCAAACTTGATCTAATTTTAAGGAGATGAACTTTGACTAGATTTTGTACAATGCTCTATTCAAACAAATGTTATATATGATAAAATCATATGTAATGAGAAATGGGTATCTGAATAACTAGGAGGAATCTCTTGCTTGAAGTTGGTCAGACCCTTCTCCTCTGCTAACTAACCATCCGCTATTGAGCATTCTCTACCATTTGTCCGTGAATGTGCTATCTGATCTGTATCTTTAGTGATTGAGAAAATTCATGGCAGTTAAATTTGTGCGTATTGCATCTGCAACCAATTTTTTCTCATTAATATATTTTCTCGACTTCTTTTTGGAAATATAATTGTCTAGGATGTTCCTTATATGTAAATTTGGCACAAGATGGACCTGAATAGATGGGAATGGATATAATTGTTTTATATAACTGATCTCAACTAGTTCAGGATTGAGGCATTGTTGGTCGATTGTCATGATTGAATGATTTATCGTTACTTATAAGGAATTTTTATCAGTCATCACGATAAAAATATTTATTTTGAAAGAAACAGGAGGTTGTTGAGAATATCCACTCAATTACACAATCATTAAGAATTTTTTACACTTGATAGTAATTCTCTTAAAATTGAACCTACCGTGAAAGCTCAAGATGGGGAATTGCCTTTTTATATATTTTGGAAACAAGTTATAGATATAGCACCAAAGCCTAAATCAACCTCAAAAAGCTAGCTCAAGAGGGAAGGATTGCACAAGTCCATGTAAGGAAACCAATTGCCCATCCCACTTCCCATGTGGGATACTTACCACCCCCGTCATGCCTAGGGCTGGAAGACTAGTGCGTGGATTAAGAACAACATCGGTGGTGAACATGAATTTGGATGGACCTGGCTCTCTGGTACCATGATAGATATAGCACTTGGGCGTAACTCAATCTCAATAGCTATCTTAGGAGGGGAGGGTTTGCCAAGTCTACAGAAGAAGACAATTGCCCCATCCCACTACCAATTTGGTGGGATGCTTAACAACAAGAAATACTAAACATCATTGGAAGTGTAAACAATTGTTTGAATTGTGTCACTGGAATAGTGAACTTTCACTGAAAAGAAAAGCAGTGCCAACGCTGTTCCCTCTGGAAAATCTCTGGTAATTGCACATCATAAGAAAGTGTTTCTTTTAGTAGAAAGAATATATTCTCATCAGCTGAAAGAGGTATTGTGAAGTAAATGTTAACAACATCAACATAGAATGATAAGAAACAAAAAAGTTACCGAGTTAGAATTCAATGTTTAGATGAATCACTCAATACCTAGACCATGATACCATGATGAAAAAGAAGAGATTAAGAAGTTTTAGGAATGCTTTCTTGAAAAGTCATTGGAAAATTGGTCAGAATAGTAGTTGAAAGAGACAGTGACAAAGAATAATTGCTAAAAAAGACACATGGTACCATCGAAACACTCAAAATAGAAATAAGAATGGTGCTGCTTTGAACGTTGACCCAAAAGAAATAAAACTAGTTAATTGTGAACTTATGAAAAGAAAGGAACACTTTGGTCGGACAAGCAGCATAAGGTCGCCTGCCACTGGACGAAAGTGATGTAAGTCTCTTCTAAGATTGTAGATCTTTGATGCCATGGTAAAATTCTACTTGGTAGCATAGCTTAATCAACTTGATTAACTTATTCTATGCAATTATTAATGATTCTCGACTTTCAACATCACACCTCAAGTTGGTATTGTATTGGGTCCATGTTTTACAAAAAGCAGAATTAGTCGATCATGATACTACTCTGGCTGCAATTCGCGATAAAGCACATGGCAATTATTGCCTTTGTATTAATTGCAGAAATCCATATTTACTTTGTTGCAGGGTATTTACTGCTTTATGCCAAATAGTTGTTTTAGTTTCTGTTGTTGTTCATATAATCGTATAAGTGGTTGGTGAAAATGTCATATAGTCTATACAAAAGCTACTTGTGTATGTGGCTTAAGTTTCTTCCTTGCCTTAAATGATAGTGCTATAAAGCAGTTTGTTTGAATCTATTGTCCTGCCGGAATAACATGTATTTTTACCTTAACTTGTTAAGGAGTAAATAGTAACCTATGCTAGAATGACAACGGAGAAAAGCTTAAGAAATACACATTACACATGCTCATGATAGGAAAGGCTTATGTTAATCTTTAGTTTTCTGTGCTTAGAAAGTGTGTTGTATCTGGAGAATCTCACTTATAGTTTGTTGCTTGTAAATGACACTAAAGATACCAATATACACCTAGCATGTACACACTTCTTGGCGACAATAGAAATATAACTGGGATTGTGTTTAGAAAAACTGAAACTGAAGCCCCTCCGTTGATAGAGGAGTTAACTGTTAGATATATCATATTCATTTGTGAAGATTTTCAGTCAACAATGGATCTGTAGAGAACTCAAAAAAGAAAGCTAACAGCGGGTTTCTCTTAGAAATATCTTTTAGTACGTGTTGGAAATGAAGAGCACCTTCTTTGATCTGCTTATGGTATATTCTGACATTCGTAAGTTCCAAATATTCCGGTGCTTGTGATTACTATTTCTAAATTGATTAGTCTTGAAGCTTCTTTTTGTTTCTGTATAGATAAAAAGTATCTATTACCACTGTCCGTAGATCAAGTTCCAGAGATGCCTCATCGCTATCTTAGAGGGCAGCTTGAAATTTGACCTCAATTAGACTTGCATGTATATTGCACAAGGCTTCCAACTGCTCCACTGCTTGAGTAAAAATATAATGTTATATTTGTCATCTATCATCAGTTCTAGTACAAGATTGTGTATATGTTAGGGGTATATACCATTAACCATACCTTTAGATATGGTTTATTCTAAAAACTCTCGTGATTAAAAAAACTAAGTGGGAGATTATTGGGATAATATTCTATTAAGTACTAATCAGATATAGTATTTATTATATTACAGAAAAATTGTTTTCTTCTTTCAAATTTCGATAAAGTTTTAAATATATCATGTATTCATATGTGTCTGAAGTCTACTGGCTCAAATCAATCAGAATTCATTCCTGGACCTAATAAAGGGGAGGACTAAAAAGATATCAGGATTAATTATTACACCAAGCAATCTAACCTTTCCAATAATTCTGGCTCATGGCATGTTAATTGTCTCTTTCAAAGACTAGAAACTTCACTTATTGGCTTCTCAAGTTAATGAAAGGTTCAATATTGGCCATAAATGTGGAAAAGGAACCTTAAGAATTCCACTTTCATACTATATATTATAAGCAATCTAACATTTTTTTAATTTCAATATTGGCTTCCCTTTCTGTTTGTTTGTTTGTTTATGTGAGTGAGATTCATAATGAAACTCCATTTTCCTGTTTGTGTCTATTATTAGTTTAGGGAGTAGATAGTATACATGGAACTTCTCTTTTCATCAACTTAATATTATTATTTGTAGTTGTTCCATTTGCCTTTTTGAGTTTTTGTCGTTAGCTAATACCGTTGTTATTCTATAATTTTCTGGAGACATGCATGCTTAAGTGAAGATAATTAATTAATTACTTAAGCACACTGATATGCCTTGCAACAAATGCAAATAGACAACTTTAAATAAGATAATGCAGAAGCTTTCCTGAGATGACGTTTATTATACTAGTAATATATTTCTAATTCCAATTCTACTTGCTAGTCTTTTGAGGTGACGTATTGATAGGTTTAGTGGCGGAATTAGAATTTCGGGTGTTAAAATATGAAAAAGTAAAATTGTCTAG